CGCCTGCTTTTGTAAATTTGTGCATGTTTTGGCAATTGTCTGCATAAATACGCCCCACTTAAAGCGCGTTGATTGATTACAGGGTATTTGATAAGTTTGTTAAATGAACTTTGAAGCTGATCAACACTTACGCATTCAATTCGGGAAATATTGCATAGACATAGAACATGGTCATCAAACTGGCAACGAATATCGCAACGACAATGACTAGAGATTTCTTGGTGGCTTTTCGCTCGTCCGCAGACATTGCCTGTTTTTGTGGCGTTACTGGCGGTGGCTGCTGCTGCTGCTGCAGTTGTGGTTGTTGTTGCTGCTGCAATTGTGCTTGTTGTTGCTCTTCCAGCTGTGGTTCTTCCTGCTGCTGCTGCGATTGCAGTTGTTTCGGTGGTTTATGCTTGCCATTTGCGGAGCCCCGCGCACGCATGTTTAGCATCTTATCAGCAATTTCTGCGTACAAATAAACGGGTCATCAGCGAGTGAGAGAGAGAGAGAGAGGGGGGGAAGAGGGGGTGGAGATGGGCTAAGGTGGTTTACCACTTACCACTGGTGCGGCTGATAAGTGGAACGCTGCTGGTGCCGTAGCCGCTGCTACTGTTGCTGCTGCTGATGCTGCTGCTGCTGCTGCTGGCAGCGCTGTTTTCCGTTTTGCAAGACATCGCGTTAAAAGCGCTGGCGATGCGGGCAAATTCTCGATTTGGATTAACGCAGCGCAGTTTCCGCGTTTGGCTTTGTTTGCGAGCTTTTCAGGGTGCTCCGCTTCTAAATGTATCAACTGTAATCGCTGCTGTTGTTCTTGCTGTAAGTGTATGAGTATGCGTGTTTGCGCGCCAGCAATAGTCGCAACTATCTCCTCGTACACATACAATTTAATCGATAAAAACGGTGAACAAAAAATACATACGCTGTCCGCGACGCCAATTTGGTGACGATTTCAAACTATGAATTTAAGCTACATGTGTTTATGCGTCACATGTGTTATGCGCACGATCTAATGCATTCGGGTTGCATCGTTTAAAAACTCATGTTTTTTTATTGTTACAAGTTATTTTTTATTAATTAAACGACGAGCTCGCTTGACTTTTTGTGTTTCGCGTAACACTCCTCTCGGTGTGACCAGAGACGACCAATAGACAAAATACAATGTGACTGCGTTTAGGTAGCAACTAAAAATACCAACATGAGCTGTGCGACAAAAGTTCTACACTGATAAAATACTGGAAAACAGGGTGATCCAAAACAGGGTGGTCAGAAAAAATAAATTGATTTAAAATGGAATCAAAAAATATAAATTGCTTAAATATTCTGTTATTTTAAATGATACAATATAAGTTTTATTCAACACAAAAAGTTTAATAATACACATTTATTAAGTTTATGTTCAAAACAATATTTTAAAAAAGTAAATGTTTAGGTTGATTTTAATATTTTACTGCCTGCTTAACTAAAGTCTGTGACGTTATGAGATACTTTTGACTTAAGAACAATTATGTTTAGTAATATAAATAAAGGAAATCGATTCAATGATTTAAATATTGTATTGCCTTCCTAACTGAAGTCTTTGACTTAAGGCGAAATTATGTATAATTTGTAAGTTTAAAAATTTATATGTACGTATATCAAACTAAGTTGATTGTTTTTAATTTTAAAATTGTTCTGCCTTCCTGCAGCCTGTGACTTCATGAGATATTTCTGGATATATTAATTGATACTCTTAAAAGCTCAATTAAATATAGGTGTGAAAAATTTGAAAAGATTTTAAAAATTCAGCTTAGAGCTCATAGCTAAGGCGATTGGTTGCCGGTTGCGAATCATTTCCATCACTAAAATTCAAAAAGAAATCGTCGTTTACATCGCAGTTCACATTCGAAAAGTCTAAAGAATTGGAGTCGTTTATATCGGAGCTTTCCTCATTTTCCAACATTGTGGATGTCAATTGATTGTCCCTGTGTTCATATTCTGTGTCTTGGTCAACAGCAGAATCTTGTGCTGGCTTGGTGTTATTCGATGGGAAGAGGTTCTTAAAGCTCAGGCTCATATTAAGATCAGAAAATTGCAGACATGGCAACACTTCCACTTTCTCGACAATTGCGCGTTCCGGAAAATCCTCCATGCTGGGCATATTTTCTGGCTCCATCTCCGATGACTCTGAGCATGGTTCAATCATGTCGAATTCGGATTCGTTCATCATTTCGGACATGGTGTCGCCATGAACTGGCGATGGCAGCGGTGCAAAATGCACTTGCTTGGTGGGGCTAGGTATGCGTTCCGTCTCCTCCGGCTTACGATTTACCACTAAGATGGAGCGCAATGGTGGCGCCGCCGACACGTCCATGTCATTCTCTTTGGCTCGACGCTCCTCAGGATAGTGGCTGAGAAAATCCAATGCCGACTGCAGGACTAGCGGCGCCTTTTTGCCACGCATAGCTCCAGCTTTCTTGATAACTTCATTCACGGACATTTGAAGCTGTGGGCGTAAATGTGAGCGGGTTAGCTGTAGGATAACTTTTGCCCTTTAGTTTACCTCGGCAATTTGCTTGCTTAGCTGCACCAAGGAGACAATCTTCTTGTTGCGCTGCTGTGTAGCACGCACTATCTTGTTGCTCCTCTGGCGATCCATTTGTGCGTATTCCCGTTGAATGCTCGAGTATTCCTCTTCCGCTTCCTGGACTAAGCGCTGCCATTTACGAAAATCCTTAACTACAATTGAGGTTAGTTTCACCATTGAGTTTAATTCCACAGCACAATTGCACAGATTGCATTCCACTTACCAATTGCACGATTCTCCATGGCAACCTTGCACTCCCGGTCGAACTTTTGCAGCTGCTCCATATTTTGCAGCTTCACTTCCGCCTCGTTCTGTTTGCATACGCCGGCAAAACGCATTATATTCTTAATTTTATCATCGTTGAGCAGGTTGCCCATTTCGAGTAGATGCTCGTAGGATGCATCTAAAATGCTGGCAAATCTGTCAAACTGTTTGCGTTCCTCCTGCATCTGGCCGGCCGCTTGACGCACCAGCATCAGATCGATGCGCAGATTTTGCATATCTTTCTGCAGCTCTGAAATAGTTCAAATCTCTTGTATAACTGTTGATCTCTTCGTTTTGCGGCTTAACGTACTTGTTCTTGCTTCGCCAAGTTCCACCTTCTCCTTGAGCGCATTCTCGAATTGGGCGAATAGATTATGCAATTCTTTATTCGAGGCGCACAAATTCGCAATGTAGCTGTACACACGCGGAAAATTCTCGATCGACATTTTTGTTTTTGATTTATTTATTCCGATTTACCTAGGCGCCAATTTATTTTGTTAACCGCGGCATCAGTAACAGTATTGATATTGCATTTATCGATAGTCACGCTTCGATCAATCAATGAGTTTATCGGAATTAAATGCTGAATACGTTTTTATATTCACAAACAAGAATCGAATCAGATAGCAAGTTCAAAATGTATGCCCAATAAGATTATAATAACAATATTAATTTAAAATATTAAATTGTCTTTGCTCTACCCATTTTTCATCAATTTTACAATAATTTTATCAATAAGAATTTCAACTTCCGTAGCTTTTATTCACAGGCAGTCAATGCAAACACTTTAATATTGTTATATCTTTATCATTATTATTATGTTTTTTTTTTGGCTTATAAGTGAATTTATACATAAAATATAGCTGAGGCTTTAAAATGCCAAAGAGCCAACAGTCAGAATTCAAATAATTTTACGATATACACATACGGTACGCTATTCCGCACAGTGCGACCATTCCTCTTAAATATATAAATACTAACGTACAAATTATGCAGACAATAAAAAACTACTATAATTTGGCTAGTTTTAAAGCCCGCTCAAAGAGAAAATATATATAAGCTGTTATGCAGATGGTCAACGGTTCAGTAATTTTAATCAAATTAATTTAATTATTTAATTGTCATTAAATGACAACACCTATGTTAATTGTTACATGCTTAACTGTTAAAATACTACAAATTGAGGATATTATCCTGTTGGTAGCTGGTCACTCTGTTTGGCTGTTTGTTTTAATTTTGTATTGAGCAGCTGACTTATTTTTGATCAGCTGTTACTGTGCACTCATTTTATTTGTCTTAATATTAAATTTAAAAAATATACTCTTTCATAATCAAATGACAAACATACATTTTGTATCATATTTAAGAAAGAAAAATATCGATTAGTAAAAATAAGATCTGAAAAGCGATTGACGCATGCGCATTTATTATGAAGTTCAGATATTACAAAATATAAGCTGCAGATTGTTTTTATTATGCGAATAACTATATGCAAGTTTTATACTGATATCATAGATCGATACATCTAGTTCAGTACAGCAGACTGCTAGTATTTTTTCAACTGATATTGTCAGTATTTGTGTCTTTTTTTCTGGCATTCCATCGCTTCTATATGAGGGTCACACGATCAGTTAGTTCGAGTTTTCTGCAAGAGACGGTTGTTTATCTCGTCGTTCGTTCGCGTTGTTTTTTTTGCGTTCAACATTTAGTAATGTTATGTTGTTATTTTGCGTAATTATTTTGTTATTCTATGAGTGGTTTTAAGTAGCAAGTGAATTTATACACACATATATTATGTTAAACGGTTGCGCAGTTGCAACACCAACACAAATACACCTACCATTTTTTGTTGCAAGCAGTTGCGTGCCGTCACAGGCAGCCGACGCCGCCGCCGCCGCCGCCACCACAAAACACGCACACATACTGCGACGCATGCGCAGCAGCAGCAACAGCGTTTACAAGTTTGTGCATGAGTGCAGGTGTTTCTGCTTCTTCTTGTTATTCAGTTACTTTGCCGCCAGTTTGCTGCGATCCCTTGGCGAGTGCGCGAGTTTTCAGCGTCGCGAGTTGTGAGTTTTTGAGTTCGAAAATTCAATGAAAACCGGCAAAAGTAATTCATGGCCGTGAATATTTCGCAAGCTTGGCAAATATATAAATTTGTTGTGTCTGTTTTTTTTTTGTTTTGTTTTGTTTCAAGTGTTGCACCAAACACAGTATCAAGAACTAATTGAAAGTTGAACACCAAAAACAACAACAACGACTGGATTAACGGGAAATTGTTGCTGGGTAAGTTTGAGGGGCGGCTTGTGCAATGCGCACGCATGGACATGTACGGACATGTTCGTTCGCTGCGTCACGTCGGTACACGTCGCAGCATAACTAAAAAAAAAAATACAGAAACAAAAACAAGAACTTTCACTATGGGAACCCCAATATAGACTTGTTGAAGCGTGCATGGAAAGCTTCATTGCGATTTTTCACATATTTTTTTTAGGGAGTGCTACGAAAATGAAATACGTAAATATGTACAGATGCAGCCATGCATATATATATATATATATATATATGTATATAAATGTATATATATATGTGCATACGATGGACATAGATATGTTTGGGGAAATTTTAGATGTTATAATCTCTAGGCAGCTAATGTACATTTTAAGAATTGTATTTCCTTCGGTTACCTGGCTAAGTTTTTTAACTATTTTATTTATATTTATAATATTGATCATTTCGATATAGAATAAAATATCCAGCATTCAGGAATATGGTATCACGACACGTATCATATTATTCTGTAATTAAAAATAAAAAACCAAGTTTTTTTTTGTGGAGACTTTTACGTTTGATTCTACTTAAACCCCTTTGAATTAGATTTTTGCTGATTTACTGGATATTAAAGACTAAAGCTGTTACGCGCGTAGCCATATATGTATATACATACATATATATATAATATATATACATACATATATATATAATATATATACATACATATATATATATATTTATACGTTTTTCGCGATTTATGCACACATGCAGGTGGAATTTCCCGAAACTCCGTCTTAATCTTCGAACTTTTTTGAAAATCCATTCCTCCCTGAAATTAATTTCCAATGATCTACATAAAAAATCATTCGAGACGTGTTTCACATTTTTCACAAAATCAAAGCTTTCTCGGTGGAATTCAAAGATTTTTTTGGTGAAGTTTTAAGTTTTGTCAAACTTATTTTCAAAGCTCTACATAAGAATTAATTGAAAACTTGTTTCAATGATTTGGGAAATTCCACCCGAATCAGTGGTAAATTGGCGGAAAATGTTTGTGTGAAAGTTGTTTGTTTACCGTCCGATCAATTTCGAAATCGTTTTCAAAGCTTTTTGAGAACATTTATTTTATACGTGCCACGGGCAATGCCGGGCATAACCCGGCTAGTACATATATATATATATATATACAAAAATAATAAACTTTCTTTAAAAAACAAACATTGATTTCGAACTCTGCTTCTTTTGTGCAACTGCATTTAGTTTTACTGAAACACATACATACACATTCGTATGTAATTACAAATATAAATGGATATATATATCTATATTAGATTTTTTTCTGTTTAACTACGCCATATTCAATTTCAATTTCCAAAGTTGTTTTTTGCTTCAATTTCTGTTTCATTCGCGCGCACATTACGTTCGTTTTTACCTGATCACACCTGGTCCTGGTAAACATATCGAAATAATGGAATTTTAATAAACAACAAACCAAAATATGATACATGCAATTTTAACAGTTTTCATCGCAATTTCTCTCACTCTATTTTGCACTCTCTCTCTTTCTCTCCCTCTCTCCCTCTCTCTCATTCTGGCACTCCCCTTGCTCCTGTTAATTTCGTTAATTGCGTCAGGTTTTTCTCTTTTTCACCTGGGATTTCAGGTAGGGCATTGGTGCGCGCTGCCAGGTAAACAGCGATCGAAGCGGGTCACCAGACAACCGAGACGCCGAGGTGAGGCGCGGAGAGCTAAGTGTGCAGCAGCAGCAGCAGCAGCAGCTGTTGCCGCTTTGCATGAATGAGGTGGCATTTGCCCCCCCGCCGTCGTCCACTGTCGTCTGTTAAATACTTGATTACCTGGCCGTGATTGTTTGCGACTGCTGCACCTTTTTCTGCCGCTCTTCGTTCCCCTCTTCGCCAGCTTATCTCGGTTTGTATTTGTCCGACTTTCATGCTCTTCATGCTTGTATTTCTTGTATTCTCTGCACACTGCAAATCGTTGAAAATTGTTTTCTTTAGTTGTGCAGGGCAAAGGGAAATATATCTGAGCCCTTAAACTCTATATAGATCGATATAAGTAAGGATAGAGCCGAAAATTGATCAATTTTTCATAAAATAAATACTTAAGGATTGAAATATAATGTTTGCAATAATAAACACATATAAAATCGATAAATATCGATCAACTGCCTGAGTTTCTCAGAGTACCTTGACGATTCCAACAATAGAATTTTTCCCAAACGGAAACCTTCGAATATCATACATCTTAGAGTGGGGAGGGGGGTGTCTCTCGCAGCTACCTTTGAAAATTGATCACACGGTTGCCACGCCCATAAAGGGCTGTCAGCACTAATTAAACGAACTGAAGAAATAATACTTAACTTTAAGCGTCAGGTGTTTTATAGGCCAATATTGAAGGGCTTTTAAAAAATGCAAAAATAAATAAATGTCTAAAAAATTATAATTTATTTGAATTTTGAATCCCAATTTTTATAGAGTTTCTCTCTGGCGAGCACACCCCATGCGATTGCATTTATTTATTTTTAATTAAAGCCATGCTCATAATTTGATAACAAAAAATTGTTTGCCCTCAGCCAAAAAGTGAACACGATGCGGGATTTTGGTCGGCTTATCGTTTATTGTTTCGAAATGCAGCTTAATGAAGCGGACCGGCTGCGGGAGGGGGACAGTTATGCAGTTTGCACCTACAACACATGAAATAGAAGCGAAAAAGCGAAAAACTAACCTGCGAACGAAACAGTTTTCCCAGGGAAGTGCCAACAGAGCGCCGCCAGCAGGAAAAACAACCACAATTGAACTTGCAACAAAACGTACTCGTGTTTAAAATATGAACGAAAAGCTGCAACAATCTGTTGGTCAGTTGGTTCATTGTGTTCCTTGGCTGCAACAAAATCCAAGAAATTAAAAATGAAAAAAACGACTAAATACGACACGCCGAAGATTGAATACCCTTTAAGCCGGAGTTTGATTGAGATTAATGATTTTTTTTCCATACAAAAACCCACTTCCTATAGATCTTTATGATATAGTCATCTGATGTTGATGTTAGAAATTCATAAATGCCTCGTTTGGTCACGTATCTTGAGCACCAAAGTAAGATTTTCACAAGAGAACTTAGTTTTTGACTCATTGTTCCAAAGGCAGCTATATGAAATAGTGATACGATCCGATCCGATCTGTTCCAGAATAGCTACTGTCTGCATCAAAACAGACAAAAAAAACAGATCTATGCAAAATTTCAATACGATAGCTATTCAATTGGGAGGCTACTACTAGCCTGTTGCTGCTGATCATGAATATATAATAAATAAAAGTGCCCAATTTTACGAAAGGATTTTTATACTCTATGCGATCAGGTCCACATTTCACGACAGTCATATAATACTCTCCATAAGAACGAAATGGTATCGCAGCGCTGTCGAATACCAAATACTCTTGAAAATACACGACTTCTTGTTACTTTTAAAAGTCTATAATATGGGATATAAAATATCTTTAATTTCTGGAATTTATAGAGTCTACAATTTTGGAGGTCAAGCTTACTGAGAATTCCACTCGCACGCTTAATTATATTTGATTTTTTTTTTTTTGCTACACAAACTAAAGAAAAATGAAATGAATTTTCAGCAACGGTTCTTCACAAATGTAAAAACTTATTTCGCAAACCATTTAGAGCTGACATTTTAAGTATTTTTATTTTGTATCTTTTCTCGTTTTCATGTAATTATGCATGCCCGCAAGCCAAAGTATAATACTAGAGAGAATTTAAAAGAAACAAGAACAAAAAAAAAATGAAAATAAATAAAATAAGATGGAATATGCAGACGAATCGAGTCGAAAAATGTACAAACTAAAAGCCGGATGGATTAAATTGGGATTTATGCACAAACGCACTCGTGGACAAACCCACATAGATACACCCACACACACTCACACATTGATACATGCATGTGTATATGTATTTGTGCATGTGTATGTATTTGTATGTGTATGCATATGTAATGCTCGCCTTCCAGCTTTGCTTCAGCCTTGTCTCGCCGCACCTACCTCCGGGCAGGTTCTCAGTTTTAACAATTTCGGGGCAGATAAAAATGTTGAAACTGTAACCAAGGTAATTCCCAGGAGGCGCAGCCAGCAAAAATGCCAGGATAACTGTGACTTACATACACAAACACACACATTCGTACAACGGCAGCAACTTTTTAGCTCCTCATTCTGAGATTTTTCAGCCTTTCACAACTTGGCTATGGAAATCGCACTTGGCGTTGCATGGTCAGTGGGCGGTGGGCGGTGGGCGGTTGCAGGCGGATAGAGTTGCCAGCGTATGCACTTTTTATGTTAGTCAGCAAATTGGACGCCGCTTTCCACACATTCTGTTGCACAAATGTGGAAGTTGTGCTTAGAATTCCCACCGGAAACGATGCAAACACAATCAAAAACAACTGTAAACAGAGACATCAAGAGAGGGAACCCAACATAAGTACCAGATATATGAATTATGTTTTGTAGTTATGTGTTCTCGTTGTCGTTGTTGCATCAGCAATGTAGTGAGAGCTACATGGAGTCGAGCACGCTGATGAAGTGTTTTAAAATGGCCATAAAAAAGGCTCTTGTTTGACTTGACTTTATCTTATTTAGGCCATGTTCACTTAATCTGCCTTTTGCATTTCAAACAGATTGCGAAATTTCATTAAGTTTCTATGCGCTGCCGCTCTGTCACTTTGCCACTCTGCCACGCTGCCACTTGCCCCGTTTGCCTTTTGGCTGTGCCAACGTGTGGCATTCAGCTTCGGGCAGTGCCTATCAATTTTCATAATTTGTATTGACCTACAAGTCTGTTGCAAATTGACATTTTGCCCATCAGCTGGCTGATGTCTGACCCTGACCCACGTCCAATTGTTTATTCTCTCTCTTTCTTACACACTCTCGCTTGCTCTAATTCTCTCGCGCTCTCTCTGTCTTTCTCTCTGCATCTCTAAAGTGCAGCTTTTGACA